TGAGTTGGATGTCTATAGTTTCAGGGTACTTTTTGTAAGGACTGTAATGTGCCATAGTATCTTAATGCAGAATATCTAGACACCAGACTACTGATAGCTATTCTAAGCCCATGGAAATTACAAATTTTACTTTTATGTTTTTTTGCTATATTAAAATATTGGACATATAAAGAATGATGGGCCAAATTTCAAAAGGCTTTTAAATGTTGAAGTAAATCAATAAAGCTTTAAAACTTTATTACATATCTTGTAGTATTCTGCCAAAACCATAACTTCATTGTTAACATTTGGTTGATAGGATAGTTATTTGGGAAATCAGTGTGACAGACTTTATTTTTAAATGAGATCTCTTTGGGGCAGAGAGAGCTTTATTAGCATTTTTAAAAAGTGTAATAAGAGACTGATTTTCCTTCATCCACAAAAAAATTCTTAAAATATTATTTTTCACCTTAAAATATTTGCAGTTTTCCATTGTATATATTTATTAATGCTTCTATTCTTTCATTTTCTTGCTTTAGTTTTTTAATTTTCCTTCATTATTTCCTATCTCGTATAGATTTGCTTTTTTTCCTGCACTTAGGATTAACTCGAGTATTTTCATTAAAACCATAGGATTTTAGAGCCTTGAAAATCCGAAGTTATCATAGTTTATTCTTTTTCTAAAATTGGGTAAATTAGGTTTCAGAAATGCTCCACCAGTTTGCTCAAAGTAATAGCTCTGAAAAGTTAGGATTAAAAATCTAGTGTTTTTCTCATTAGGAGACATGTCAGACTTTGTGATTTTATTTTAACCAGGGTCTATTTTCACTTGGGTAGTATCTGAATGACATTTGAAATTCCTTGAAATGTCTTTTCATAGTTTGACTGGCATGTGGCTCACAAAGAATGATTTTTATTATGACTGATGATGTTATCTAGTAAGTTTTATATATTTCAGTTATTCTGATGAAATTTAATTTAAAAAACTGAAAATTTACAGGGGATCAGTATCTTGTGAATATACTTTATGATTTTATATTAATATGCAGATCATAATAAAAAGGTCTTTTACAGTGCTGAGTTTAGCATTAAAATTTCTCCATTGGAGAAATAAGATGCTTGAAGTAGAAATTATTGCTTAGCTTTTTACACTAATTATAATTGAAATGGATGTTTGTTGACAGTGAAAATCTAGATAATAAGGAAACATCAGTACTGTAATAAATCTGTACTATTTTAAGGTAATCTGATTTGTATTTTTTTCCTCATTCACAGACAACTATTTCACCTGAAATAGCAAGGATGAACTTAAATTATCCCTTTTAAAAAAATCTAGAAATCACATTTTGGAAAATCTATTATTAATCTAGAACTCTTGATCCAATAGCAGTCTAGTTTAGAATGTAATTTTAATGTTCAGTTGGTAATCAATGCATTTATTAAATTCCTTCACAACTAATTGAACCATTTGCATGGTTTAACAGCCTGAAATCACATAGATTTAGAGCTTAAAGCAAAACAAGTGTCGAAAAGATTATGAAGGTTCAGCATGATCTTGAGCCAGTGCTGATCAAAGAAAATGTGTAAGACAAAAAGGCCCTTAGGAAATGTTACCCTGTGAAGTGCCACTTGTCCCTAACTGGAATATAACACAGTCTCCAGTGTTGAAACTCCATCAGAGACAGCACAATAATAATGGCATCTGAATGTGCCAGCCACAGCAACCCAGCCTGTATGTGTATTCTTTGACTCTGTCAAGCACTCTCAGATCTCCAATTACTCTCCTCTTCCCTCTCTGACTCTCTTCCCTCCTTTCTGTATCCGTGTCTCTCTCTCCCTCTCTCCGGGCTCCATCTATCTCCCTCTATTAATTTGCTTTTCCTTTCCTTCTCCTTCTACTGCCCTTTCTTTTTCTCTTCCCTTCTCCCTATCTTTTCTCTCTATCCCTTTTCATTCTCCCTCTGAGAGGATTGTGTGTCTTTCATCTGATTTGTGATGACTTTAAATTCATCTACATCATTTTATACACAGCTGTGTTTTATCATTCAGGTTTCCTAGAATACTAATTTCTTAGAGTCATTTTTACTCTTGCTTTGTGTACATTTTGGATTTTTTGTTTCCCTGTAGGATTGTGATCTGAAATTTTAATTAAATATAATCATCAGTAAAGATAATGGAATTTTTATATCTCCTGTTATAAAAGCACCTCTCATTTGGTGTTTTTGCTATTGTAGCACTTGTGCTGCTTTCATGTAATAGTGAAACATACCTTTGGTTACAGCATTGATTAGCATGGAATTACTTTTGAAAAGCCAATCTGTCTTCACTTGAATTGCTGTTTAGTAATTGTGGTTTAACAGAAGTTTCTTTTGGCTTAATCTTGGAATACTTTGAATTTAGCCTTTGCATTGGAACAATCAAACATTAGCCTAATATGCTTTGCATGGTACCTTCTCAGCCAAGTTCTGTCTGTATTAACCAGTTTATTCGATGACAAATTGCTTAACAGATGTCATTCAGGGGAGAACAATGAAGCCAAATACTTGTGCATTGGCTAACAGTACTCTAACTTTGATCACTTTTGTTTAACACATCAGTGTGGCATTGTGCTTTATACCAACATAACACTATAGCCAGAACATGCTTTTCAGGGGGTTAGAATTGCAAAGGAATGTTATTCAGTTCAGTGCAGTTACCGTTTATTTGATGAAAGAAGAAAATACTGTTTATTTCATAATGCTGTGGTGTTGTATTTTGGAATTCAGGTAGAATTTAAAGAATATCACTCCAAAGTTAGTTGTATATTTTCTCCAATATTGGGGCAGCTTTGCCACCTTTCCAATAAATAAGAATATTTGTCCTGCTTTTTTTCAGAAGTAGCCAATGAAGTTTGGTATATCTAGACAGCATAATCCAAAAAGAAAGAATTCTAGAAAGGATGTTTTTATCTTTAAAGACTACTCATATTTCAAGCTCTGTCCTTTTCTCTCTTATTAATATAATGGTTTAGGTTTATAGAGCACCATTCTTCTTAAGAGCATTAATGTTTAAACATAATAGTCACAGCTAGTGAAAATGATTAGACGTTAGCCCAATTTTATTTGGTTAGTTAAATTGTCGGATTGATAATGATTAATGAAAATTTATTAACTTTGTGCGACTGAGTATAAACAAAATACTGCATAGTAGGTTGTCCATTGCTAAGAACCTCTGAAGAAAAGCTATTTGTTTGAATTGAGTGGAGATGTAACTTTGCCCCAAGCTCCTTAGATCTCATTTACTAAGTCTTTTTTCACAGGTGTACACTGGAGATAAAAAGTAGATTAAGTTATGTGTTTTGTTTTCCCTAGTGAACATATATCTCTATTTCAGTGGAAGGGTAACTTAGATGTGTTTTTGTATAATAAAGAGCAATGTGATAACAAAATGCTGTAATTGGACAGCACAGTACTTTAGGTTCTGGATTATAAAACATGAATGAATACTGCCTATTGAAGTATGAAAAACCATACTGAAGTCTTATGAGCAACATTTCAACACTCATTTCATTTATTAGAGTAGGGTAATAATACCCTAACTAACCTAAAAGCTAGTTAAGATGGTTGGTCTCTCCATTACAATTACAATTTGTTGACTTACTTTACTTGTAAATAAAGCATACAATATAACTTCTGTATGTATGTAGGAAAAAAAAGAGCCAAAGACACGACTTAATTACTGCATAACATAGAGTTAAACCTTCTAACATCTTACTCTGTTTAAGTTGCTTACTTACTCTCATTTTATTATTCTTTATTTTTATTTATTTTATTTACTTGAAAGACCAAGAGAGAGACAGAGACATCCTCTACACTTGTTCATTCCTCAAATGCTCACAATCTGGGCCAGGCTGAAGTCAGGAGCCAAGAGCTCAGTCCCTGCCTCCTCAGGCACTTGGATATGGAAATCCCCAGAGGTGTCTAAACCATGCCATATGCCCACCCCTACTTCTTGTCCTTCTAAAGTAAAAAGAATAATGCTACTGTTAGGAAAAAACTATCTTTAATAGCGTTTACTGTGTTCTTTTCAGAAATAATCTCAAAAGCATATTAGTGATGGCTCTAATGATAGTAAAATACATGTGTTCCATTGAAATAGTTCTTTTTTTTTTTGACAGGCAGAGTGGACAGTGAGAGAGAGAGACAGAGAGAAAGGTCTTCTTTTGCCGTTGGTTCACCCTCCAATGGCCGCCGCGGCTGGCGCGCTGCGGCCAGCGCACCGCGCTGATCCGATGGCAGGAGCCAGGTGCTTCTCCTGGTCTCCCATGGGGTGCAGGGCCCAAGCACTTGGGCCATCCTCCACTGCCTTCCCGGGCCACAAGGGAGAGCTGGCCTGGAAGAGGGGCAACCGGGAAAGAATCTGACGCCCTGACCGGGACTAGAACCCGGTGTGCCGGCGCGCTAGGTGGAGGATTAGCCTATTGAGCCGCGGTGCCGACCTAAAATAGTTCTTAAATTGAGGTGATTTAAAAAAAATAATCTGTGCTGCTTTACTGGTAAGGCTTTATATCATTGCAACTTATACCAAAAAACGGAAGCAGCTTCAGGTCTCCACCTCCATGCCCTCCCAGAGAAAAACCACTACTCCTCTTTTACACACAAAAGCCTGAAATATATGTTTTTGTTTGAATCATTATGCAGTTAAAATATGAAATATAAAAATTTGCAGCTGTAGTTTGTCCTAAGCATACTTTATACCTCAAGTGTCTTGATTGGAAATGAACTTGAAGTCAGCCAAGACTTGGGGGTGGAGGTTGGGCATCGGGATATGTCTTGAACTATTATTTCATCTAGTCTTCATTGAAAATCTGTTTTTTAAATTGGGTGTGTGTTTTGTTTTTTACAATATTTTTGACATGTGTTTTTCTGGTTTAAAATTCTTATTTTGAATTAGAAGAAAGCAGGACATATATTTAAATTAATATGAAACTATCATTAAGTCATGTAGAAAGACTATCTTAATTGTGCTCTCTTTTTTTATAGGTAAAGAGAAATGTGTATGACCTTACAAGTATCCCTGTTCGACATCAATTATGGGAGGGCTGGCCAGCTTCAGCCACAGATGACTCAGTAAGTAACAGTCAAGTTCTTAGTTTTATTTCCAGCTCTCTTTTTTGCCACTTGCAGTCTCAGTGACTTTGATAAGTCAACAGAATCAAGTTTTTTGAGTATTCCATTGAAAGAATTTTATAAACCAAACTGACAGTAAGAGGAGTTGTAATAATTTGAGTTTGGGGCAGGCATTTTTGTGCAGTGTGTAAAATGTCTGTATCTCATATGGATTACCTAGGTTTGAGTCCCATGTTCACATCTGATCCAGCTATTTATGCACACCCTAGGAGGCAGTGTGAGATGGCTCAAGTGCTTGGATTGAGTTCTTGGCTCCTGGAGTTGGCCTGGTCCAGTCCGTGTTGTTGTGGGACATTTAGGGGTTGAGCCAGCAGATGGAAGATCTCTTTGTCTCTCTGGCCCCTGACTGTCTCTGTCTCTTTGCCTTTCAAATAGAATGAAAGTAGAAATTTTAAAGTAAATGAACAATTAAATTTTACAGATAATGTCACTAACACTTTGATCTTAAACATTCCCTTACATTTCACTTCCGTAAAAAGTAGAAGAAAGATTTAGTCTGTCATTTATATCTATTTTATGTATATTTATAATGACTTTTCTATTATAAATTTGAAACCTTTCTTATCTTTGCCCTGTTTCTAGTCATTATTTTCCAAGACAATAGGTTTTTTTTTAAGACAGTAGATTTGTATCATCCAAGTAGGACAACTAAAATTACTTTTGGTCACTTTTCCCCATATATTTGTTTGTTCTAATCCGGTAACCATTTTTTAAAGGAAAGAGAAGACTATTTCAAGAATTTTGAAATTAATTCTGTTTTTAAAATCAATAAGTAAAAAGAAATTGGGACTTTATAAATATTTTTAATGATAATTAAGTAATGATATGGCTGACATTGAATTACTTTTTCATTTTTTTTATCAGTACCATGTTTATGTCTAGGTTATAATTACTATTCCAGGACCACCACCATATACACTTTCTTTTTTCCAGATTTTTTAATTTATTTGAAAGAGTTACAGAGAGAGGTAGAGACAGAGAGAGAAAGAGAAGTCTCCCATCTTCAGATTTACTCCCCAAATGGCCGCAACGCCAGAGCTAAGCCGATCTGAAGCCAGGAGCCAAGAGCTTCTTCTGAGTCTCCCTTGTGGGTGCAGAGGCCAAGCACTTGGGCCATCCTCCACTGCTTTCCCAGGCACATTTTTAGGGAGCTGGATCAGATGTGGAGCAGCTAGGACTCGACCAGTACCCATATGGGATGCTGGCGCCTGTGGGTTGGGTCTTTAACCTGCTGCGCCACAGCACTGGCCCCCCTTTATAAAAAATAATTCTTTGTGGAGGAAAAGAAATTTTGAGACATTTGTGTACGTAGATGCTACATGAGTTTAATTAAACTGTGCCTTTGTAAAATGCTTTGTATATTACAAAACTCCAAAAATAATCAGAAAATAGCAAACTTAAAATAAAAAACTTAGGGAGCAGGTGTTGTGATGCAGCAGTTTAAGCTGTCATTTGGGTTTCCTGCATCCCAATTTTGGAATGTCTTGTTCAAGTCCCAATTACACTAAGCTTCTTATCCAGCTTCTTCCTAGTGTACCTCATAGGTAGCAGATGGTGGCATAAGTACCATTTATGTGGGAGACCAGGATAGAGTTCCTGGTTCCTGCATTGAGCCTAGCGTAAGCCCTGACTTTTGCTGGCATTTGGGGAGTGAACCAGTGTATTGTAGATCTCATTCTTTTTCTCCTGTTTTCACTCTGTCTGTTCCACCCTGTCTGTTCCACCATGTCACTCTACTTTTCAAAGAAGTACAAGTTTAAAGAAAAAAAAAAAAACCTTTCCATAAAAAAGTTGAATAGGTATAAGGCATTTGCATTTATTTCTGAACAATTTATTTTAGCATTGATATTCTAGTATATTATGGGAATATTGACATGAGAAACTTGATAAAAAATAAATTTATTTTCATAAAAATAAAATAACAGTGTTCATAAATGGTAGCCTACTGTTTATATCTAAGGGGACATGAAGAAAGCAATAGTGTTCTTAGCATTGTCTAAATACCTGTTACAAGAAATAGTAACATTAATTGAATAATTAAGGCATGCACACATCAGTCTGAGTTTCAGTTTCCTCACTGATTTGTAGCATCCTTAGAAAATTAGTTTATAGTACCTGGCTCATAGTAGGTGATCAACAAGTCAGAATCATTATTGTAACTGGTCTTAATTCAACTCAAGAAAAGGATCAAAGGCAAGAATTGAGAGACTTAAATGAATGAAATGGTATCTTATATTTGCTTCATAATAATCTATGGGGGTCTGTGAATATAGAGGTAATTCAGATTAGCTATCTGTTAATCTTGCTGAATTTCAGTGATGCAAATATTTGGTTTATTTGACTTTTCTCTCAATTTTTGTGTTTATTTGAAACTTTCCAAATAGAAAGTATAAAACCAAAATATGTGGAAATAGAGATATGTGGAAATAGGGATATGTGGAAATAGAGAAAATTTAGGAATGTGGAACTTCTCAGGGTTGGGAAAGTCAATTGCTCCTGGACTACACACTTTGGAAACAGGCACATCAACTGCAATTCTAAGAGTAATAGGCACATTCAATGAAATATGATCAATTCGGTAACATAGTGTTTTATACAGTTTATGTATTTATTGAATTTGTAGTTCAGTCTTTTTGTGAGACTCGTTTTTACGTTTATTTTTATAACATTTTATTTTTTGCCAAATATTTGTACTACACTATCATTACTATAGGAAAATATAAAGGCATCTAACATACGCTGTATTCTGGACTGTAATGCTACCTGATGCTGTGTCTAATCACAGCAAGCCAAGAGGGAATCCCCATTAAAAGGCTTGATTCTTGTTTCCTCATTATTTATATTTGCACCTTGTCCCAGAACCTGTGAAATGGTGCCTGCTCAGGCTTCCCCGGAGCAAATGTTGCCACATTGGCAGGATGTTGCCTGAGCTGTGAGATTTGGTACAACAAAGATGTTTAGGACCAAGCTGCTTTTAACTGGTGCCACAGCAGATTCACTATCTGAGGTGCTAGAATTGAGGCAAAAATGGCTTATAAAAGCAGTCTTCTAAGGAAATCTTAGCCAAATAAATGTCATAGAACCTGTATCATGAGAAATATAAACATTCCTAAAGCAGGTACTTTTAATCTGTATTGTTGCAAACAGTGATGTTTTTATACTTACTGAAATCACTCATGTGGAGGCATCTGCTACAAAACATTATAGTCCTCACAGCTTTGGGCATGAACTGGGTACAGCTGAGAAATGTCAGCTGTGTAAACAGCCTGAAATGTGTTACCAACAAAAATATAATTAATTTCTTTCCAAGATAGTGTGCCATAACTTAATACTTAGAATGGTTTAACTTTCAGGGGAAGCACCTGAACATTTGCTTCCCAGTGCCAGAGTAGGAAATTGGTTACCAAATGTCATTAAAAGTGAAGTTAGTTGCACTTTTCCTGCTACTTAAAGAATTTATGTGGCTTTCAATATACAGTAACTTTAGATACCATTGGCTTCCATGAGTTTATAGATAAATCATAGATCAAGAAATAACGGATTTGGAATGATGGAAATGTCCTAAAATGAGATTGTTATAAAGATTGCACATATCTCCATTTACTAAAAATCATTGAATTGCATTGTTTATTGGGGGTTGACATGGGGAGAGAGAAAGAAAAGATCCTCCTGTCCACTGGTTCACTCCCCAAATGCCCACATGGATCTTGGGCCAGGCTGGCTGGAAGCTAGGAACTGGGAACTCAGTTCTGGTCTGGGAACTCAATTCAGGTCTCCCATGTGGGTGATGGAAACCCAACTACTTGAGCCATCATTGGTTTGCCTCTTATTAGCCAGTAAGGTATCTAACTTATTATTAGTTTGGATAGCCAGTAAGGTTTTCTAACCTATATACTCCAGTGTGGAACTCTGGTTTCTCAACCAGTGTCTTAACTGTTAGGCCAAATGCTTGCCCGTTGAAGTTATGGAAGAGTTAATGAAGAAGCAGATTAAAACACTTTTTCCTTTATGTGTTCATACTCCCTGATAAATACTTTTGCAGGAACACAGGAGATGTTTTCTTCAGTATACTTCTCATTAATCTTTGATTTAGCAAACAAGACAGAGAAACAAACTTCTAATAATTAGATTTTTATAAAAACTTGAGTCTCTTACAAATCTGATAGACTTTAGTCTTTAACATTTTCAAGCTACTCAGTGAAGTCAGCAAGCATTTAAAACATTGTTACTCATATCCCTTCAGATTTGAAATTTTTTTTTGTTTGCAGTTTCACTCTAATAGGTTATGGGATACTGTAAGAATTGTCAATAATTCTTTCAGCTCCTTTTGTACTCTTTCATCAGGAAAATAGGTATCTAAAGCTTCACCAGTAGGGGAATATTTTCATGCTGTGACAGTTCAGTTGTGAGAACAAGGAGTTACAAGTAGGTGAAATCTCATTTTACACTTCAACAAGGAGGCACTTGGTTTCCAGAGAATAGAAACAATATTAACACTGTGAATTATTTCTAGACACCTTATTATAATGTAGACAATTTGAATATATGTAGTTTTTTTTAAAAATTACAATGTTTAATCATGCTTATACAAAGGAAGAAAACTCCTTCTGTTTTAATACTTTTTGTATAATTTTTTTTTCCCCTTTGGAGATTATTGGTATTCAGCCACTGTTCTGTCAGTAGCCAGGGAATGTTAAATTTGAGAAATTTCAATTTTAGAATCAGAGGTCTTTTGGCATGTGTTATGAATCCGATAGCTACTTACTAAATATTTTTACATGGAGAATATGAGATTACATGTAGGCAAAACCATTGCACAACGATAACACAAAGCAAAAAACATGTATATTTCTTCCCTTTCCCCTCCTTTTTTAGATAATAAAGAATCTGTGCATGAGGGAATGTCACTTTAATCTTTCTGTTCGGGACCATTTTCTTTG